TATTATTAGGGGCGTTTTGGCAAACTAATAAAAACTTAACTTTTTTATTTTTTGACTTTTTGGAGTCACAGTACCTTTCTATTTTTTTATACAAAAAAAGTTAAAAAAATCACAAAAAAGTCAAAAAGTCAAGTTTTTATTAATTTTTCAAAACATCACTTAGTATATTTATAAAATAAAATATAACGTATAAATTATATTTTTTTTGCATTATTAATTTAAATCTTTAACTTGCAAAATTCAGTTAAAATTAATAAATAATGTTCATTCTAAGGCCTAGCTTGGAAAGACTAAATAAGTGTACTTTTTGAATTTTTTTGTATTATGTGTAGAAAAAGTAGAGAGGAAATGTTGATTAATGTGACCCAAAAAAGATAAAAAGATGAAATAAGTACACTTTTTCCTTTGTAGCCAAACTTGGCCTAAAAAAGAGGAAAAGGTTAGATTCCCGAAGTTCTAAAAGATGTGGGAAAGGGGTAAGATTTTTATTTTTTACTTGAGATATGAGGAATTTGTGCCACAAGTGCTTCCAGTGTGATACAGGGCTTGTTGGTATAGGAATATGACTATTTTCATATCATTATCATTTATATCTTTTGTATCTTATTTTGGCCCTGTTTGACATGATGGTTGAGGTAATTTTACTTACTAAAAAATAAAATAAATTAAAAAGTTAATAAGATAAAATGTTATATTTAAGAGCTCATTTAGCATAAATTTTTTTGATTATTTTAGTTATAAAAAAATAAAATAGGCTTTTTAACCTAATAAGACAAAACGTCACATCTAATCCATAATCATTATATTTTTTTTTTTACAAAAGTCAAAAAGTCAAAAAATTCATTCTAAACGACATTTTTCAGTTTTTGACTAAAATAACCAAAAAGTCAATTCACATCCCAAACGAATCCTAAATCATAATTATTTTATTTTTTTCTCACAAACAACAAAAAAGTCAAAGGTTTATCTCAAACAAAATTTTTTTAGCCAAATTGTCAAAGTCAAACTAACAAAACCCTCGTTTGACATGTTGGTTTTAGATGTTAAAAGGTTAAAATAGTCATAAAAAAAGGGATTAAAACGTTAACAAGACAAAATGTCACATCCAAACTATAATCATTTCATTTTTTCTCTTATAAAAATAAAAAAAAATCACAAGGCCTTAGATAAAATAGCCAAAAAATCAACTCACTTTCCAAACAAAGCCCAAGTTTATCCCAAACGAATTGTGAGTCTCATTTTTGAGTTGACAATGATAATTAAAACGGTTCATTTTGTAAATTTAATAGTAAAAATGAGTTGTATAAGAAATTAATTTCATTTAAAATTAGTAGACATATGAACAAATTTTATTTATTTTTTTAATATAGTTCACGGGTATAAGTTTAAATTTAAATTGTCCATCTATTTATTAATATTCGATGAATTTAATTTTTTGCACTGACTACTCTAGTGAAAGAGAAAATATTCATTGTCCTAGAGGCAAATTTAGGTGGTGCTCCAGCCTAACTATTATTGGTTGAAACAATGAGTCCCACTACTTATTTGTTCCCTTTGAGGAGACAACTGAACACTTATCGGAACATGAGTGGTGGAGTAATACTCCTACAGCAATGACTAATTTATTCTAGTGAAAGGATGATGGGTCCCGTCCACCTATCACCTTACCAAAAAATCTTAGATTTTATTTATTTATTTATTGTTTTTATGATAAAATTTTGTTTGATAACGAATTGATTCCATTAAAAAAAAAAGAAGAATTTTAAAATAGTGAGACAGACAAAAATAAGTACAAAAACATGTGAGATACAAGTGATTTTGTGATAGAATGTAAGTGAAATATTGTGAGAGTGTAAGTGTAACTTACACCCTTCCATATTTGTGTAAATTTTTTTCTCCCATTGAGATATAATTTCCTCTTAAGAAAAAAAGGAATCCCATCATTAGAAACCAAACCTAGTATTTTTTTTATTATTATTATTATGTTTCTATTTTCAATACTCAAACCAAACGAGAGATCCATGGTTAAATAGTTGCTTGATTATCTATATAAAAAGAGGATCTGTTTGACACTATTGACAATGAAATTATCATCTGATAGTTCAAAAAATGACAACTCGTTGAATATGATTGTAAAAATTTATGTTTTTTTTTTTTGTTAAGATGATAATATTTTATTAAAAAAATATTTTACTTGAAGGTGGAGATGAAGAAATTCAAATGTTAATTAACTTAAATTTTTGTAAATAAAATTTATGGAGTTTAAATTTTTTGAGTGAATTCATCTATAAGATTTTCTAGAGTCACCTGTGGCACTGATAACCTTTACTGTAAAATTTATGAGATTAATGGTTCAGGGCATCATTGTAGCTCAAAATGGAGTCCACAGTATAAAGAATTGAAGAGTATGGAACACAGTGGTATGGAGATGAGCCATTCCGTATTGCTATTGCTTAAAAAATATCATGAATTTCAAAGCTTAAAAAATATCATGAATTTAAAATATAAAAAAAATCTACAATAACTAGTTAAAAGGTTTTGCTATATTCCAAAACCACATTTCTCTCTTAAAAAATATCATAAACCAATAAAAAGAAATTCAAAACACTCTCAGCAAAAATTAAGATTGATATTTATTACCAAAAAAAAGAAAAGAAAAGAAAAGAAAACAAGTATACATACAATGAAGATGTTCTATCTACCTTGTCGTCTTTGGATATAAAAACCCTACAATTTCACGTGTAGAACGAATCAAGTACATTAATTATTTTTAAAAAACAATGAACTATCAAATGTAAAAATGTTAGCATGATCTAACCGCTTAGATTATTATTATTATTATTTTTTCAAAATTAAAGTTTATTGATAGATAAATACAAATACATCAAGAGTGATTATCACCCTTTTTTAAGAGGACATACAACCAATATTTAGTGTTCCAAACACTAACACACGAACAACAACAACCATAGCCCGCAATATATTGCGGTCACCAACTAATAACTGTAACTCACTACATACTGCGATCAACAACCAACAGAGACAAACTCAACCCTCCATAGAGGAGGAGAAAAGCCTCCACAAATGAGGAAAAATACACTAATACAAAATACAAAAAAACACACAGAAAAAAAAATCAAAAAATCAGATCCGCACAATCCGTAGCCCAGGATAGATTATTATGCTCCTTTTCCGTGATTATACCGTATGTTATTTTATTTTCTAATATATTGCTTTAAATTAAAATAAAACATGATTTTTATGTAATTTTGCAATCCAAGAATGATCCGGACCCCTCCAAAATATGACCCCCACAAACCCCTTGGCCTGTGAGGGAGTCTCAATCACTTCTCTTTTGAAATAATAGCTAAAATTTAAAAATAAAGTGTCTTTTGAAAATAGATTATTTTAGTAATTTTTTAATTTTTTAGTTAAAATATGAGGTAAAAAAAAATTAGTATGTTTAGAGTGACTTTTTAATATATGTTATAGACTTTTTGAATTTTTAGTAACTTTTTAATTTTTTGATAACTTTTTAATTTTTAAGCTAAAAATGTTGTATGCCAAACGAGGCCTAAATTAAGAGAGTTTGTTGCACGGAAACTAACAAAATCACCATTGACATAACATTTGGGATGTTTGGAAAGTTAACTATTTTAGTTGGTTATTTTAATTTTTGATAAGATAGTTGAATTTTGTTGTAGTTTGATATGATATTTGTGAGAGAAAAAATAAAATGATAATGGATTTGATGTGACATTTTGTCTTATCGACTATTGTAGTCTATTTTATCTTAGAAAATGAGTGGGAGCTCTAATTAGAGCTATCACTAGTGATATGGTAGCGGGCACCCACTGCCACAGTTTGTATTGTGTCTTTTTTTTTTTGTTTTTTTGCCACCTCATTAGTGGTGGGTTTAGAGCCACTAATGTTGTGTTTGGTTGGGAGATTTGGGGAGAGATTTAGAAAAAATATTAGTATATTTTATTCACATTTCACCTAACTTTTTCCTTTCCCTTTCCAAATCGCTCTTCAAATCTTCCAATCAAACACAACATAAATTAGTGGTCTCTAGCACCATCGTTTTATCTTTTAATACTATTTTAACCCAAAAAGTCAAAAAAATCTTTTCCCAAACAGGTTAATTAATATATATATATATATAACATTATCAAAAGTATTTTGTCACTATCCAGTCATAGCAAAGGCCTCATTTGGAAATATGAAATTTTAATTAAAAACTCATTATAAAAACTTTTTTTTTTTTAATCATATCGACCTTATAAAATGTAATAATCACTTGTTTAGCGAACATGCTTTAATGCTTACGAAACCTCCAAGGTCATATAGTAAAACACTGGATGGCATGATGCTATGCCTACACCATGGGAGGTTTATTCTGTGGTCTTGAAATATTGTTTTACATTCTTTATTATTATTAGCATATGATCTGTGGTACGTACGGAATAAAATGATATATTATTTTTTAAATAAGATATATACTATTTACATTCACTTTTATTTTCTCATTTTTTCACATAAATAAAAAAAATAAATATAAATTTAGAAATTGTATATTAATTAGTTTTCTCGCCATCCAAACAAGTCGTTAATCAATATACACTACAGGAAAAAGAGGTTTAGGCGGCATTTTTTTAACGACGCATTTTTAAACGTCACTTTTTTTTAACATTTAACGACGTTTTTTAAAACGTCGCATATTTGTTCAACAAAACGACATCGTTTAATAATAGGAGGTGTTTGAAACGCCTCCGAATGTGTTGTGCCTCACACGCTTGGTCTCCTCTTTTCAAAGCCTAATTTTGAATCTCAGACTAAGACCCAACTTTTCGAGCTCTCTCTCTTTCTCTCTAAATCTCAGAGCGATTTCGAAGCTTCACCACTGTCTCTCTTTCTCTCTCTAAATCTCTCTCTCAACTCTCTCTAAACCCTTATCAGAGCCATTCAGAGATTCATCTCAGTGATTTCATCACAAAGATTCTGAGCGATTTCATCTCAGTGATTTCATCGAAGAGATTCAGAGATTCAGATCGGTCTCCACCATCTGCACCATCGTCTACATCATCATCTACACCATCGTCTCCTAAGGTGAGCTCCACCGTCTCTCTTTCTCTCTCTCTCTGAAGCTCTTCCTTTCCGTCTCTCTCTCCGTTTCAGTGATTGATGAGTTGTATATGCTCTAGTTAGCCCCAATCCAAGATTGATCCATATGAGGTTAGGGCCCGTGCTAAACAGGTTGTGCAAGATCAGCGCCGTCTGAAGGTTGGTCTTCCAATCTCAGTTTTATCGATTCTTCTCTCTCTCGATCTCTCAATCTCTCTCGATCTCTGTCTCTCTCGCACAATCTCGTTATATGCGTACACATTATCTGTATTTTTTTTTGGATAATTTTTTTTTTCTCTTAAAAATCTCTCTATACAAGTATATATATGAATTTATATATGTATTGATTGAATAATCATCCTTTTTTTTGCCCTGGCTCAGACGAAGGGTCATCTCCTTTTCATCAAACACAAGATGAAAAATCTGACAAAATAAATTGCTCACTTTGAACAACATATTGATTGGATTTCCAAGTTGATGTAGATTGTTATTGTGACTTGTATATATATATAGTTGGTGGAATGTTGAAATTTGAGAACTTCGTTATTGTTTATGAACTACAAATAACTCATTTTGGATCAGTTGGAGTTGTAGGAGAAAAAGGGGCAGATGAATGTGTGGGTTTAACTGTTTCTGATTTAATGAAGTAACTGTTGAACATGATCTTGCGTTTGTCTCATTTTTTCTCCTCCAAATTATTTATTTCTAGTCCTCTCACTGCCACTAATACTATCTCATATTTGAGTTCATGGCCAGTAACCCCGTATATTCATTGTGCATGCCACATCTGTATCTGTTACTAACTGGACTATAATCTTCTGTAGGTCACTATGTTGTAATATGTGGCTATGATGCTCTGACAGATGAGTTTGAGATTAGAGATCCAGCGAGCTCTGGGTACATCACTTGTTTTCCCTCTCCTTTAAACATCACTATCCACAAACATTCGAAAAAACAAAAAACAGAGCTGCCTCTTTTTTTTAGTTCTTTTTTTTCTTTTTTTCTTTGGTCATAAGAAGATAATTAACACCTAAGCATGTTGATTAAGTAAAAGAGTTGTGGAATCCTTTAGTGAATGCTTCTTGATGTGTGTTAGTTAATTTGAGAAAATACAGTGAAAAGGTTGGAAACTAGTCTTTTTCTTCCCCAGGATGTGTGTCTACACGTGCATGCACATTTAAATTTGAAATGTTTTGCATCCAGGAGTTTTAACTTATTGATGAGATTTCATTTCTGAAAATATCTTCAGCAATATTAAGATGATTAAGCAAAATAAAACCCATTAAGTTCAATATAGTTCTCAGTTTTTTATTGTAAATGGGGCATATTATGAGTCAATCATCAACATGGTTTTCAATCAGGCCAAATAATGAATTTCATTAGGTAACCACCACAAGATGAAAAGTGAGAACACACAAGAAGAAAAAAAAATTTAGTCCAGCACCAAAATAAAATGAAAAAATTAGAAAAAGTGAATAAGTGTACCCCTAGAGCATTGGAAATTGCAAGATAAACACATTCCTTCCCGATGCTATACGCCCCAACAATAACAAGGGTTTTGGGTTGCTTCCTCAGACAGTTCTGCGTGATTCTCACAACAAAACTCATAACATCTTCTTTGGAAGGGAACCTGCTTATAATCTCAAAATTTTAATACATCAATTTTTATAAGTTAGTTTACAAGATCTGATAAGAGCAGTTTCTCACCTGTACTTTGGGTTGCAGTATGTCGTGTCAAGATAAAGTGCATTGACTCGTTGGTTTATGAGAAGGGGATAAGCATGCATAAGTTTACTGGCTCTAAAGTCTCCGGTGTGCAAATAGCGTTGTCCATTTGGAAGACAAAAGTGAATAAGAGCTGCACCGGGGCAGTGATTAGCTTCTAACATTGTCACTTTGATTCCATCGATGACATGTTCAGTACCTAATTCCAAAGGACGGATGAATCTGTAGAGCACAGAAAGCAGATATCAAATTGCAGGATTAAGCAGAGCATGAGGCAAGAGGGAAGATCAATAAAAACAATAACATAGTTACAAAGTGAAATTACCAAAAAGGGGTAATCTACAAATTTTAACTGCATGTATAGTGCATATAACTAAGCAACAATCAAACAGGACAATGAGTTCCTTACAATGGATTAACATATAGACACATTCTGAGCAGCCGAGCGGTGAGAGGGGTACAATAGATGGGGCCATGTGACCATCCCTTGGTCAAGCCACCATAGTGATCAGCATGGAAGTGACTTAGGATATATGCATTGCAACCTTCAATGCAGCCATAGCGGAATGCATCTACAGTGAAGGGTGTCCCTGTTGAATAAAAGAGAGCAAAATAACAAATTTCAGGAGAAAATGCAACCAGTGACATGATTGAATGATTGGGTTTTTAAAGCTGAACTGAATAGTGTTGATTTTTAATGTTGGGTGGGTGGTCGGGCCTGAAACACCAGAGAAGTCCAATAGCAAACTCGGGCGGGCATCTCCTATGGCCAATGGTTCTTGGGATGTATGTAGACTATTGTACAAGGGAAGGGGAAAATATTGTTTGAATCTATTTACAAAGCCTCCACAAATGCATTGAATTGAAGCATAATAACAAAAACAAAATTGGGGACTTGTGTTGGCGAATCTGCATTATACTATGATTGACCCTGATGCTGAATGAATGTACTCAAAAAGGGGGCAAAAACCAGAAAAGAAATTAGAAACTTGAAGTGGTTTTCAAAACTATAACTAGTGGTGGGAGGGAGGGAGCAACAAGTGGAATAATTCCTCTTGTAGGCATGTCCTGAACCTATTCAAAGTTTTATACGGAATGAATCTTAGCTCAGATGCCAAGAAGACACATGAAAACCCTAAAATAATCAATGTGGAAATGCTCAAAATTGAGAGAGAGAGAGAGAGAGAGAGAGTATACTGTATAGTATAGTGTGTATTGTATAGTGTATAGTAGTGGTGGGAATGTGATAAGAAAAATGAAGGGACAGAACATAACCTGGGATTTTCTTATAGAAGGGGCAAAGACGGGGACGCTGCTGCTGCTGCTGCTGTTTGTTGGCAAATCCAGAAGAAGTATTAGTAATGCTACTAGTTTTGCTCTTCTTGTTGATGTTGATGTTGGTGTTGGTGTTTGATTTCATTTTGGAAATGGTGGTGGAGGAAGGGGAACCAGCAGAGAACATGGACTTGATCTTCTTATTTGGAGGAGGATGGTGATTATCATCCACAACATCATGGTTGTTGTTGTTGTTGTTGGGGGAGCCCCACCCCCACATCTGGAAGAGATTTGTCTGTTTGAGGCGCCGCCCCAGACCCAGCATGGTGGCATTGGGATGGTTGTTGGTGGTGGGCTTGTGATTTTCCAACAAAGAAGACCAATCTGTTCCGCATCCATAGAAATCTGATGCGAAGCTACTATCTTCTTCTTCTTCCGATTCTTCAATTGATCGGATAGTATCTCTTCTGATGCTGCTATTATTCTCATCATTATTGTCGTTGTGTCGAGGAAAACCATCGTCGTCCATCAGATTCAGAAGAGATAGGGTTTCATCCTTATCACAATCACAATAATTGGAATTGGAATTGGAATTGGAGGAGAGATCATGGTTTTCTACTCTTTCGTCGTCTGCGATCGCCGCCGCCTCCTCCTCCTCCTTTTCCATATTTTTCCTCCTCCGTCGTATTGTATAGCAGCATATTTTAAGGAAGGCGGATTTCAGAATTCCGACAGGACTTGGCGCCCTTTTTTTAGTATTAAAAACTACACCGACACATTTGGGGCAAAATTTTAAGAGAAACAAAAATGCTCCCGACCTCTAAACTTTGACCACTAAATTACCATTAATGACGTGGCTGCCTACGTGGAAAACGGATGCAAACTCATCCGTTTCTCCCTCTTTCTTATTCATTTGAAATTTGAAATTCATTTTCATTTCAAACTCTCTCCATTCTTCCTTCTCTTCACTGTTGTGCCTCTCCTTGGCGACCTCCCCGACGAGCGAAGCTCTGCAACACCGGCGAGCGAAGCTCTGCAACACCGGCGACCCGGCTCTCCAACCCCGACGCCCGGCGACCCGACGAGCACAGAATCTCTCTCCGTCTTCCCATCGGACTCGCGACTCGCTTCTCTCGATTAGTGGTGTTTTCTCGACAGATCTGTGTTCACAAGTCAGTGAAATAATTTCTCTCTCTCTCTCTCTCTCACTCTCTCTCTCTCTCTATATATATATATATATGCCCTAATTTGTTTTTGAGAACCCTCTTTTCCTCAACTTTACCAGATATCTTCCCCCTTTTCCTCCTGGTTTGGTTTTGAGAACCCTCTTTTTAGGTGGGCTTGGACTATGATTCCAAAAGTCCTAACAAAAAAATATGTATATATATAACATGCTTTGTATTTAATGAAATGTTAAACAAATTAATGCAGAAAATAGGGGAATCCATGGCTACTTGGATGTTATTGAGCCCATCTTAAAAAAAATTATTGTATGTTCATGGAGATATACATGAGATCAAAAACGTTTGATTTTTGAGACTGTTGAGAAATTATGTTAAAAGGCATGAGACATTAGATGGTATGTTAACTTAATTACTGTCATTATTAATAATAACTATGTTGCTCAAGTTATAATAAATTGCATCGGAAATGCCTCACAAGGTCGTATGTTTGAGAAATTCCATTAAAGCTCTTTTTTGAAAATTAAATAGGGAATGGGCCTACAGCCCACAGGCATCTGAATTTTTGTCTCAAATCTTCTTCTTCTTCTTCTTCTTTTTTTTATTTTATTTTATATATACATATATATTTTTATATGCCACTAAAATCTTACATCCACTTTGGATTTAAAAGTTATCTGGTCAAACAAATAAAATAAAAGAAAACTATAGAAAGACAAGCCACTAGACTGAGAATAATAGATAGTTAGAGAAAGTGAGACAGACATTGAATCTTTGTGTACGCATAAAATAAAAGAAAGGTAAAGGTTGAGGATAGGATATCACTTTATGATTTTCTAACTAAGACAGTTAAGCAATGTAGCAAATTCTGAGACCATCTCCTCTTTCACACCTATCCCACAAACAACACTTTTATGGAAATTAATCCTTAAACCATAAACCACTTCAAAACACCTCAATATTCTTTTATGGATCATCATGAGGGAGATGGCTGCCATCAATTATTGCTTCTGCTAATGTCTCTACTGTTTGGAGGGACATCCTGAATATGGTTCTGTCTAATTCTAGGCTGCACAGTTTCTATGTAGAGAATGTGGAAATTAGGATTGGGAATGGTTTTAGGATCTTGTTCTGGATAGATAATTGGAGGGGTGATTCATGCCTTCAAGGTATGTAATTTGTATAAGAGCTGTGAAGTGTGATGAGGACCTAAAATGGGGTCACCTTCGCTCTAGTTCTGTAGTTCCATGTTTCATATAAGCGTAAAGTCTACTAGTACAAGAATAAGACCTCATTAAAAGTGTCTACTTGGATTTATCATTTACATGGATTTATGGCTACTTGGATTTATCATTTTGGACTGATTTAGAACATAGATTCTGGATTTATCACTATGAACCCTTGGGAATCCATGGCTACTTGGATTTATCATTTACAAAAAACAGCAGCACTAACTACAAATTATTTCAATATATTTAAAAGATCAATTTGATGACACTTACATTCTTGAGCACAACCACAATAAGTACCTGTATTCTGGCTTTATCAAGGTTTGGTTCCTCTGATATGCCATGAAGGCCTTTGGGTAACTACTTTACTTCTTCACAAGATGGTTAGGATGTTTTCTCCCATGTTCTCATTTAGAAAGTTTATTTTTTGTTCTTCCTCTTCCTTATTGCATATGCATTAAATGTCCTGTATTTGAGTTCATGCTACTCTAACTCGGTCAAAATACTAAATTTCTTTTCTTATGACAATTTTTAGTTCTTTTTGTCTTGGACAATAATTTTGTCAAATGTTCACAATAAAATTGCCAATAAATAAAGTGGATAGAAATGTTGGAGTTGTCGTATTTTGGATCATTTATGACCCTTTTGAGGAAAAAAGTGAAGAATAGTATTTAATCATGATGCATCCACAAAGCAATGTGAAAAAAAAAAAAAAAACCAGAGGATTATGGTATTAATCTATAGATAAACAATCGAAAAGGTAATTTGGGTGGTTCCTTTCTGGCTATCTTGTATAGTTGGTTGTTGGGTGGGGTGACTTCCAACTATGACCTTTTTTTGGATTTTGTAGAGTTGATGCAAGTGTACATGGGCTGCTTCCCTTTGATGCTTCTATTGATACTTATTCTTACTTAGCAACAGAGAGAAAAAATTAAAGGGCTTTGAGTGTGTGCCTGAGGGATAGAAAGAGTAATTTAAGACTGCCTTAATGGGTTAGGTCTCATTTAAATATAAAATTTGAAATTGACTAGGAGTGGAGAGAGTAGTTATGATGGCTTTAATGAGTTTTAAGTGTCATCAAGTTATGTAGTTTGGAATTTATTGAGAGAGATTTGCTACAAACACAGAAATGATATACCATCAAACTTCCTGCATTGATATGGAATATGATTCTCTAGCCTTTGTAATCCATCCTACATTCTCTTTCCTTAACCTAGGCTACACTATGAATTAATTTTTATTAAAAAAGAAAAAGATGAACAGATATAAAAGAATGAATCATAATTGGAACCCATAACCACAACTACCCTAAAAATTAGTCAAGCCATAGGCATGATCCATCCATGTGAATCATTATCCAACTATAATCCTAACCTAGTACCAAATGCCAGCACACCAATATTGCTCAACCATCCAAACCTCATTTTGTTGTGGGAATAACACTAACCCTTTGGCCCTTTCATCTAAGTATTGCATTTCTGTACATAACTAATAAGAATGAGCAATATATGAGTTAGATTATAGAATTAAGTATATATGGCAATCGATGTTACATTTATAGGTAATAATGTCAACTTCATAATTCCCTTCATATTTTTGCAGATGTCAACTTCAAGTGTTAATGGCAGTACCTCAGATCAATTGACGTATTGCAACAGAAATTGTCCTCAATGTCGGAAAAAAGCAATCATTCGAATTTCGGAGACGGAACGAAACAAGAATAAGCTATTTTATTGTTGTCCTGATTGCAGTGGGTTTATTGCATGGTGCTTGCCTACAAATTCACAACGTACGGAGGAAGGGCAAGTGCGAATGGAGAATACACCGACTGTCACCGAACAACTTCAAAGTATGGGCGAACATCTTCGATTTCAAAGCGAACAACATCAATTTCAGAATGCGCAGATGCAAAAATTGCAAAGAGACATAAATAGAAATTCGTGTTGTATTAATGGGATCTTCATCTTGCTTGTAATTGGTGTGATATTAATTATGAAGATGTAATAATTTTTATACAAGTTAGAACATGTAATTGGTGTTGTATTAATTATGAAGATGATATGTATGAAGATTTATGATATATTACAATTATGGATTGACAAGTATGAATATGTAATCATGTGGATTGTTTGTTATCTGATTGGAAGCTTGAAAGTTATTTGTTTGTCTGTTTGAACACATATTATGAACAGATTTGGACAGAGCCCCTGTTGTTAAAATACACAACAATGTATGTTCAAATACAGAACAATGTATGCAAAAATTTGTGAAGCACCAGAAACAGAATCTATGTTCAAATCAGTCCAAAATGTGTCCAAAATCAGCCTAAATCAGTCAAAAATCAGCTAAAATCAGCCTACAATCAGTCAAATCACCCAAAATCTGTCCAAAATCCGCCTAAAATCTGTCCAAAATCACCACAATCAGCCTAAAATCAGTCCAAAATCATCCCAAAATCTGTCCAAAATCAGCCTACAATCAGCCCAAAATCAGTCCAAAATCTGTCGGAAATCAGCCCAAAATCAGTCGAAAATCAGCCCAAAATCTGTCAATAATCTATGTTCAAGCACACAAACATAAGCTATGAAGCACCTGTTCATAAATGTGTTAACAAGCACCTTCAATAATCTATGTTCAAGCACACAAACATAAGCTATGAAGCACCTGTTCATAATATGGGTTC